AGGCCGGAGCACGAGCCCTGCCTGAGGCACACGTCTGGCTTCCGCCTGCAGGGCAGAGGCTGTGGGCACAGCACGGAGGCCTGGAACCAGCACACACGGGGAACGCTAGGCTCTGCTTTGGGGGCCGGACCCAGCACGGGACGTGGATGCATTTTCTGGGGACCTGTGTCTGCTCAGCTCTCGGTGGAGGCAGCCCCGAGCAGGGTCCTCCTGGGAAACCCCCGCCACCCGGCCACCCCGCTCAGGGCCCTGGTTCAGGACGCTGACCTGCAGGTGGGTGATGTTCCTGTCGATGTTCATAGGGGACGTCACGCAGCTCTGGGAGACGTACTTGTAGTTGCTGGGGCTGGGCTCGCCGTCCACGGCGTTGACGCAGGGGATGGGGATGCGCTCGTAGCCGCGAGCGATGTCTCTGCCAGGGAAGGGGGGTTACTTTTGCTGTGACAGGTGCGGCCCAGGTGGGACTGAGGAGGACAGACGGCCGCCGCCGAGAGCGGCTCTCCTCACAGACCCGGCGCCCATCGCCACGCCGCTCACAGGACGGCCCTGGTCTCAGGACACGCCTCACCTGCTCACCGTCCTCTCCACGGGGACGGGCCTGTCCGGGGCCGAGTCCCGCAGCGCCTTGCTCATCTGCAGGGCGTCCCACACCTGGGAGTGGAGGCTGGCGCACTGCAGGGGCGTCTCCCCCTCCTTGTTCTTCAGGTTGACGTCTGAGTCCCGGGAGAGAAAGAGGCTGAAAGGAAAAACGGGGCCAACAGGACACTCAGATCTGCGCTCAAGAGACAGGAAGACGAGACGTATGAAACGACCAAATCGGTGGAAACACTGAGCACACACCGCTGGCCGTGACATTCACGAGCTGGCAGACGGTGCTGGGAGGGCTGGGGACTCCCCAGAGCAGCCCCCTCCTCTCCCACGCTCCTCTCCGCAGAGAGCGAGCGGGAGGCGCTGGGAGGGCGTCGGGTTTCTGGGCATCTCCGCTCAGTGCTCCCTCAGCGCTGGGAAGGGCCGCCGTGACGGCATAAGCAGGCCCCACGCCGCGTACCCGGCGGCGACCCCAGGCCTAACCTGGGTCAGAACCAGGCGTGAGCGGCACAGGATGCCCTGAGCTCCCCCTGCCCAGGGCCTCCCAACAACATGCCCACGGTACGGAGCTGCTGCCAGGTCCCACGAGGGTGCAAGCCCTGCAGGGGCTCCCTCACGCCCGGGCAGACAGGTCACCTGGGGTCACGGGTCAGGCGGGTCCTGCTGATGAGAATGGGGTCGTGCCCAGAGTGAGCGCTTGGGGGCAAAGGCCTCAGGCAGCCAAGGACTCCAAGTGGCCAGCACCAGGGGACACTGCCCCCACAGGGCTCCCCCCACAGGCTGTCCCCTCGGCCTTGGGCGACCTAGCACTCGGGGCTTTTTCACAGCGACCCCCGAGCCAGGCTGTCCCCACTGACCTCCGACCTGGGACACCCAGGCACTCCCCAGGAGCCTCACAGGCACTCACACGACGCAGGCGTAGCGGTCCTCCCGGGCAGCGATGTGCAGCGGCGAGTCGCCGTGGATGTTCACCGCATGCAGGTCACACCTGGCGGCCAGCAGGATCTCGGCAATGTCCACGCAGCCCGAGAAGGCCGCCCAGTGCAGGCAGATGTTCTCCTCCTGCGGGGGCGGGGCATGAGGGTGGGGTCAGGGCGTGGTCGGAGAGGGAATGGGTCCCCAAGGGCTGTTCTCATATCAAAATGACCCAGGACACAGCACAGCGCCTGCAGGGACCGGATCTGAGCCACACCCGGGGGGGACAGGCCTAACAGTCACAGGCAGGGGGCGCTGTGTAAGACCCGAAAGAGGCCATGTGGTTCGTGAAAATGGTGCTTCACAAAGCCTCTGTGAAACAGCTTCACGTGGCAGGAAACCAGGGACCTCTGTGCTGTGCAAACAGGTCCTGTGAGGACCCAGCCGTCTCTCAGGACTCCACAGCCCTTAGCCCACAGGAACCCGAGGTGGCGGGCATCACAGTTCAGCCCACGGGGGGCGCTGCCGCTCAGGCACTAACTCTTTGCTGCCCCTGA